CCGGTAGTGTATACACACACACACACACACACACACATATTCTAACCCCCAAATTTTGAATGGTATGCCGTTCTACTGCTGTATTTCTCACAGTTCTCAGCTGCAGCACATTACTCCCTTTTTATTGTAAATGCTTAATTTTAAGCTCATTTAACTCAACTGGCATTATGGCCTTTAACATTATACAACTTAAAAAATTCAAGTTGTAACTAGGACAGATTTACTTACATATTTACCTCATTTATTGCTCAGCTATGTCATAATTTGAAAAAGGATTCTATGTACAGTGAAAATATGAAAGAAGTATAAAGCAGAAACGGTTACCTTCCAGACCCTTCTGCAGAGACAGGATCTCCGCCTCAACCTCTTTCCCTGTCACCACAGAGGAGACGGCTGACACCTTAAATCCCTCAGCCACAGCCGTAAACTTCAGATAAAAAGACAAAAGATGCATCTCATTACACTGTCTTTTGGCAGGGAATTGTCACATTTGGATTTGCTTTAAGCTGAGAACACATCCCTGTTTTTTTTTCTCTCATGCTGTAACATTTCCCACCAGAGTGACTGGCAGGAGGTGCTAAAATTCACAGGATGAAAGAAATGCTAGACCTCTAATTAGTAAGACTTTTTTATATTTCTTTGTGCGCTTCTTTCTTATTGTGGTCAGGCTTTACCTGCTTGAGCTCTTGAACAGTTTTCAGGTGTTTTTCAGCACTGTCCACGTGGGGCTGTATTTCCTCTCTGGTCTTATTTATCAAATGCTCTTTGGACTGGACAGAAATGTCCAACTCAGTTGTCCTGTTCATCAGGTCCTCGCTCTGAAATACAGATGACTTTCATTCAGAATATATTATTTCGATGACCTCCAGACTCAGAGCACACTTTTTATGTATTTTTAAAAAAAGTAACTATTTTTATTACCTATGGTCCGAGACGCTGGGATAGGCTCCAGCAGAGGATTAAGTGGTATGGAAAATGGATGGATATGTATTGCCATATCAGCATCATTAGCTAATTTCAAGGTCAAAGTATTTTACAAAAAAAGATGCAACTGACAAATAAGCTTCTTACAGATTACAACAAAAATAATATTAAAGCTAAAGATCTTTCAATATGATATTTGTTAAAAATCCTACAATTTTTCCATATGAGAACTTTCTAACACCTATTAGCATTAAAAGTATGACAGTTCAATTAGACAGTTCACTTAGTATATAACACTTACTTTGCTTACAAAACATATGGTTGGACCATAAAATATTATGATATTGATAATTTATGTTTGTCATGTTGTGGTATGTGTCAACTGATGACAACTAAGCATACTGATTTTAATTGATCATTTTCTGTAAATCAACTATAGACATATATGCATCCATCCACAATGCATGAACAAACCTCAGTGATTTCAGGATCCTGGGTTGCTGTGACGTTTGTTTGATTAAGCATCTGTGAGAAAGCCGTTATGTTGGACTCCTGCGCTGTGAGGGTGAAATTGCCATCCGTTCTGCGTAGTTCTGATAGTGAAGCAGTGATGTTCTCTAAAATGGCGGCTATCTCAGAGTTGTGCCTCTGAAGTGACAGGTGTGTCACTAAAGTCTCATTAACCTCAAGAGTCAGATTCTCTTTCAACTGCTGCATCTCCGCCAGCCTTTGAGACAAAAATAGATGAGACTGTGACATTTCAAATTAATTATTAAGGACCAATACCTGAAGAACTGCAAACTGTGCTTGAATACAGACACAAACATAATGTAACTTACTTCTGTGTGAGATCCTGCACATAAGACTCTGTGGAGTTGTCTTCTAGTAAAGTTATCAGCAGTGAATAGATTCCATTAGTCATTTTAAAGGCATCTTCTGCTATCTGCTCAATATGAGCTGCCATGTCTGTGTGACTGTTAAAAGAAAACATTATAAACCATGTATGGAAGTCACATCAAAAACTCAAACGGACATTGAAATATTTCTGCTAACCTTTTCACTAGCACTTCAGATTCATTAACTATAGCGTTCCATTTGTTTGGTTCTTTAGGGATTACAGATGGCATGACCTGAGAATAAGATGTTTGAAAAGAAGCAGAGAGACACAAACGCCTTCATTAAAGGGGTCCTATTATGCTTTTTCACTTTTTCAACTTTAGTAAGTCTGTAATGTTGCTGTTTCAGCATAAAAAAAGATCTGCAAAGTTACAAAGCCCAAAGTTCACTTGAAAAGGAGATATTTTATTTAACAGAAATCGCTTTTCAAAAACTACAACGAACGACTCGTTTGGACTACAATGCATATTTTCCGGGATTTGTGATATCACAAATACCGACGAATGGGACGAGACCTGGTTGAGCTGCACTAGAGAAAGCAATGAGTGTTATCACTATGTCGGAGACACGCTAGCTTTCCCAAGGCAGACTAACTTAGAGTGGTTACAATCATCCAGGTTTAAATTGCACTCAAATTGATTTGATTTTGACGCAAGATTTTGATTTACACTGAAGCTCACAGGCGGCTATGGTAAGGGGCATGACATTTCTCGACCAGGCGCCGAGTGCTGCCAATCACAACACACACTGGCCCAGCTAACCAATCACAACACACACTGGCCCAGTTAACCAATCACAGCACATTTCGTATTTCAGAAGGCGGGCCTTCATTTGATGCACAAACTATTAATGCCAGACTGGGGAGAGAGGCAGGGACGCGGGAAGTAGGGGTGCTGAGGGGGCTGCAGCACCCTCTGTTTTCACATGGTTGCAGATGCAACGCCAAGTTTGTTCATTTAAATGTATTCAGTTTTAGCATTTAATAATTTATTTGTAATGATCTCTGAAATGTAAATTGTAAGTGGGCTATAATAAACCCATGTTTATCTTTATAAACATGATGTTTATAAACTTGTGATGTTTTCTATATGGGATGATTAGCCTAATCCTCATGAACACGTGACGCTGGCGAGTGGTATCAGACATGAACTGTACAGAATGCGAACAAGATTAACTTTAATATAAGGAGATAATAGCGCAAAAGCAAATTTCAGATTTTTTAAAATGCCCATCCCAGCAAAAACTTTCCAAAATCGGCATCCAAACAACACCAGCCCCAGCACGAGCACCGATGTAAGTGAACCTCCCCACTTTCACCCAACACGGACACACACAGCACCCCCACCCGAAAACATCTTCCCGCGCCCCTGGAGAGAGGTGTTGTAATAATGTAAAATATGTGAAAAATAATGTGTTTTTTCGAACAACCTAGTATGAGAGCCTGTTCTAGTACACCCCCAAAACAAAATCAAGACTTTGTAAAAGAATATAATAGGACCCCTTTAAGACACGTTCTCTGGCCAGATGGATTAGACATTCATTTAACTGATCTGTGCAGACTCACCATGCTGTTAAGTTCAAGAGTCAACTTCTGAAGCTGGTCTTGCATATTCAGAGCAGAGGATATAGTGTCAACAAGCTCTTGACACTCATTTTCACCCTTGAGAGTCTTTCCTTCCTCTGTATCTTCTCCACTGTCTGTTAAGTTGCAGTTCAACGCTGTTGCAATGCTACGCAGCTGTAGCTGTAAGGTCTGGGCAGATGTTTCCAGCTGTGAGAACTGCTTAATGAAGGCCTCACGAGCCTCTGCATCAAAGGAGGAACATTAGTATTGCATCAGTAGTGAGTTTCCAGCAAAACAGGCACAGGCAGAAGCAACAAAGCATACATTTTCTTAGCAAACAATAGCCTTCAAAAGTTTTTTGAAATAAGACTTTCATGCTCACCAAGGCTAAAGTAATACGGCGAAATATTACTACAAAGCTGCATTTTTAGCAATTCTGTCACATGATCCTTCAGAAATCATTCTAATATGCTGATTTGGTGCCCAAGAACCATTTCTTCAACTCATTATCATCAATGTTGAAAACAGCTGCTTAATATTTTTGTGGAAACTCTTTTTCAGGATTCTTTGATTAATTGAAAGTTCAAAAGAGCAGCATTTAATTGAAACTGATTTTTTTCGTTACGTAAATGTTAAAACGTTTCTGATACTTTTAACTGATTGGTCATTTGTTGGTCAGCAGTATATTACTGATAGGAAATATTCAATTAAATTCAAGTTTATTTGTACAGCGCTTTCACGATACAAATCATTGCAAAGCAACTTTACAGAAAATTAAGTTTCTACAATATTTAGTAGTAGCTTAACATATTTAGAAATATGTTGCAATCAAATGTAAGATTTAAAAAATGTTAGACATGTATTTTTCATAGAAGACTTTCAAGTAAAAACTGGAGATTTGGAGTAATATTTTTTATGACAGTGTCCATACTGCACACACTGCATGTTAACATAATTACAACAATATGCAAACAACAACATTTTATCTAATAAAACTGCCTTGCATGTATTAGACATAGTAAATGTACTGTACTTCCTGCATATATCAGACTGTGTAAGTATACTGAATATTGAATATTATATACTATAGTATTATTTATTGTACTATTAAATGTATTGTAAAATTGTATATGATTGTATAATATTAGATAGTCACCCCTCAGAGAAATAGAATTATGGTACGTTGCCATTTAATATGTGTTTATTAAACATACATAGTCTTAGGACTATGGAGGTTTAGCACTTAAGAGCTTTTTACCTTGAATAGCTAGGAGGTCCTCCAGGGCATTGGGCAGATAATCTTCAACCTGGTCCTTCTGTATGTGATTGTCCAGGCTGTTATGTTGCTGCTGGCGCCTACGATAATGCCGACTGTATCTATTGCAGTCATAGCTGCTGAGCAGCATCTCCAACTCCTTCAGTCTGGCTTTCAGTTTATTGACCTGTACACATAACAATGTGAAAAAAAATCATTAACAAAACATGTGGGAGAAAATGTAGAGACAATGTGTAAATGTAGTTATATTTACAAACAGAAAAATCACAGCCCTCAATTACAGCAGTAGACATAGATTTAATAATTATTAAAACTATCCATCACAACTTATTAGCTTGAACCCCACTGAGCTTTGCATTATCATTTAAAGGGCAGAACTAAAACCAGCCTTGCATTACCACCCATTCATGCTCATTATGAAAAACCAGGAAGATGTAGATCTGGGAAACCTACAACAACTGAGAAAAGGAACTTAAGGCTGGAATACACTACACAATTTTTGCCCAGATTTTCCGTCAATTTACTGTATTGACACTATAGCTGCTGAAAGTCAGAGCCAGGCTGCAGATTTGAGCTGACAGATTTCATAGAAAATCGCGTAGTGTATGATGGTCACAGACTCCGATTTTTTAGCTTCAGACTTTGATTCCATCCACTCGGAGGATATCAAACATGTTTGATATTTTCAGCCGATTTTAGAACACACATTGTTTTCATTTGTCAAGCATCTCCTAGAAACAAGGCGCATGTTTCTGCGTGAATTTGCTGTGATCAGAACAACTTTGAAGTCTGGTAGTGAATGATCCTCAGTCGTTTAGTGTATGATGGCCAGTTTTTTCAAGAACTGTTCAGTTTTTAAAAGCTGTGTAGTGTATTCCAGCCTTTAGTGAGTGGGTGAGATAACAATTAATTGTGAACCTTTTAATTTGCTGCGCAATCGCTACATCAAAAGATCAATCCTCATGCTTCATCATGATCTCTCTCTCTCTCACTTGTGCACTGAGGAAGGCCCACCTGGTCTCTGATGAGACTGTAGCACACAGGGCACTCCTCACATTGGTGGGTCAGGCGGTTCTGAAAGTGGTTCAGTTCACACTTATCACACTTATATCCAACAAACCCATGGCGACAAGAACATGTCCCATTGTCATGGCACTGCATCAAGGTCGAGCCCATGGGGTCACAATTACATGCTATAAGTGGGAGATTGACAAAGAGAAACAATGACTCTCCAACACTTGAAATAGGTATTTGAAAGACACAATGGACAAAATTATGTATGAAATTTTACAATATGTACTAAAATATGTATACATTAAAAAAAAATCACCCAGGAATTAAAACAAAGTGTTATAGTTATGCACGTTTATTTAGCTGAATTCACAGTAAAATACATTGGTTAGCAGAGTAACATTGCCAGCTGACTACTGAAAACTGATTATTAAATAGTAAATTCAGCTATTTTAAAATATAAAATAGTTCAATTAAAGTTAGTTTTATTTAAATTAGTTAACAATTAAAAAAACTATAAAAATAAGTTGCATAAGTAAAGTAAATCTAAAATAAGTCAAATTTAAATATGAAACCATTTTAAATGATGTAAATCAATCTGAGTTTCAGGGAAAATCTGACTTATGTTCAGTGCCTGGTTCTGATTATTGATTTCAATACCTCTGCAGCCTCTAGAGGAGAAACCAAAGAATCCCATTCGACAAGTGTCACATGACAGCCCCTCTACACCAGTTCGACACATGCACTGTCCTGTGATTGGATGACATGCTGAAGAGGAGGAGCCAATGGGATTGCAGTTGCACCTATAGAATAGAAGAAGAGAGTATAGAATTCATGCAGTTTAGTTTATAGGCTGATAGACTGACAGATAGATCGCAAAACTTACATCTCACAGCCCAAGCCTGGCTGCAGGTTGAAGTAACCAGTTTCGCACTGTCCACAGTCTCTTCCTGTTACATGACTCAGGCAAACACATTTTCCTGTATCCGGGTGGCAGTCATTCAGTGACCCTGATGTCCCAGCCACGTTACAGGCACAAGCTGAGAAACAGAAATCGGCAACTTCACAATGTAAAAATACCCAGAATGTTAGGCCAACACATTTTTTTTAAGTTTCCTGACTCACAAAGAATTTCACAAAAAATCTTCTCATCCACATGATGTAAAGCTCATGCACAAAATGTTTTTTTAATGTCTACATTCTAATGAGGCATGCAACAAAGCAAGATCTTGAACAAGGATACAATGCTCAATGTTGCTGAGCATCTCAAAAACAATTTAATCTAAGTTTTGAAGTCTCAAAACACCAGTGACTTTCCATTGACTTCTATTGTTTTTTTCTACTGAGCTAATGATATTTTCTGTCACTTACTCATTTGCATTTACGTGTTTATATTGCAGCATATTTATTAAGCCATTTTCTTTTGGCTGGTTTCCACAGTGTAGATGATTTAAAAATATACTGCCCTTATGGGGATAAAGTAGGCAAAAGGGGAATACATACCATTTTACCCCTTAAATCAACAATAAAATGTGTTAGTTTTGTGCCACATTCATGTTTTAAATGATACTCACGTTTGCACTTTCGCTCTGGATTGAGTTCATTGGCCAAAGCGTTGCCGTAGTAACCTGATCTGCATTTTTCACAATGGTCCCCAGTCGTATGTCCCAGGCATTTCAGACAGCGTCCAGTCATGTGATCGCACACACCCACTGCATTTGGATCCACGTTCCCATTACACTCGCACCTCACACACGGCTGCACTTTGCCTCCCCAGCCCAGAGGGTTGCCATAGAAACCATCTTCACATAATTCACACCGTACACCTGGGAATCCATTAAAATCGATTAACACAATCTACTTTCAATTTATTATCACTCTATGTGTTTGTGCTTTGGATACAGGCATCTGCTAAATGTACACTTATTTACAGTGAGTGCATAATGTATTTTAACTACTAATCTTTTTGCATATTAATGCTGAACTGAGCATTTGTGTGTCAGAATATGTAAATAGCACATAAACTGACTGCAACTAACCCCTTTGGCCTGCCGGACAGCTGGTACAAACCACGTCCCCTGTCTCTAGCACCTGTGCACAGGTGGTGCGATCTGGACAAGGACAAGGTGTGCAGTCGATTGGGCTGCCAGTCAGTGCATTGCCATAGTAACCATCTTCACAAAGGTCACAATAACGGCCTGTGGTGAAGTCTCTGCAGTCACACACACCTGCAATAAAACACACACACACACACACACACACACACACACACACACACACACACACACACACACAAATCATATAAAACTTGCACACAAACAAAAATATGATCCTTTTTAAAAAAAAAATTTTTATGCATATATTGTGGCAAGAAGTGATTTTGGGGACCAAACATGAAGTCAGATAGTCTAAGACAATTATCAGATTCATTGAGCCTCACACACAAAGACACTGAAACTCAGTATTACAGCTCTATTAATACAATATGAGTTTCTACAAAAGCAAACAAACTCAAATGGCTTTCTGGTTCAGTGCAGAAACACCAGGGTGTGAGCCATCACGCATAAACTCATCAATTCAGACAAGCAGCTCAATGCTGCCAGCGTCAGCACGAAAACACACACTACAATATACCATTGGGCAAAACGCTGGGCTCTATTTGGATTCTA